GGATCTGTGTGTGTACAGATGAGTGTGCATCYGTGCACGCACACACACGCACACATGCTGGGGATTAAACCCAGGACCTTAAGCACCACTGAGATACACCCCTACAACCCCCACAAGGTATTTTTAGATGAGATTAACATTTAAATCAGTAGACTGAGTAAGCAGATTGCACTCTACAGAATGAGTGGGCCTCATCCAATCAGTTAAGGCCTTATTAATAGGATTGACCTCCCTGAAAAAGAGGGCATTTTGACATCAGGCCCCCTTGGGACTTAAAATACAACTCTTCACAGTCTCCGGGGAAGATTTTGGAGTTGCCAAGTCTTCACAATTGCATGAATCAGTTACTTAAAATAAATCAATCTATAGATAGGTAGATAGATATCCTATTGTTTTTTTTTTTAACTCTGATAAATGCAGTCTCTAGCCACCACCATAGTTTATTCTTGCCCTTTTTTGACATTTGATTTTTAAATTTTTTTTTGTAGTTGTAGATGGACATCTTGCCTTTATTTTACCTGTTTATTTTTACGTTATGCTAAGGATAGAACCCAGTGCTTCACACATGATGGGCAAGCGATCTGCCGGCGAACTACAGCCCCAGCCCCTGACATTAACTTTTTTAAAAAAGTCTTATAAATCTATAGGTTCCCCTCCACCTTTTATTGTGCTTATGGTCCATCTGCTTAGAACCTAGGCTGTTTGATCAGTGGAGTTTCCCATAATCTACATTTGGCTAACTGTATATTTATGGTACAAAATAGCATCTTCTTCTACATATTGAAATCCAGGGGCTTGATCAAATTTAGGTTTGATCCTTTTGTCAAAGCCATACATATAGTGTGTTTTTCCTCAAGAAATATGTATTTCCTGGTTTTGTCTCTTTTTGTGAGATTTGCAGCCATTGGTGCTTATATTGACTAAATCTATTAATTGTTAAAGACTGCAAAATTGAGATATTCCAATTTTGTCCTTTTTTCATTTATTAACTAAAACACTTTAATAAAGTGCTATTTCTGTTAGTTTATGATGTGGTTACCTAGTAACATAACTCCTACTGGAAAAAATAGAATAAATACTTGATTTCTTAATCATGGCCTATTTTTTCCTCTTTTTTATTTTATTTTATTTTTTTAGATATACATGACAGTAGAGTGTATTTTGACATATTATACATACATAGAATATGACTTACTCTAATTGGGATCCCATTCTTGTGGTTATACATTCTTGGTTATATATGGTGTTTCACTGGTCTGAATTCATATATGAACAAAGGAAAGTTATGTCTGACTTATTCTACTGTCTTTCCTTTTCCTCCCTTCCCTTCATTCCCCTTTGTCTAATCCAATGAATTTCTATTCTTTCCCACCTACCTACCTCTATTATTGTGTGTTAGCATCCACATATTGGAGAAAACATTCTTCCTTTGGTTTTGGAGAACTGGCTTATTTCACTTAGCATGATTGTCTCCAGTTCTATCCATTTATGATTAAATGCCATAATTTTATTCTTTTTATGGGTGAGTAAAATTCCATTGTGTATATAGATCACATTTTCTTTATCCATTAATCTGTTGAAGGTTGCTTCCATGGCTTTGTGATTATGAAGTGAGCTGCTGTAAACTTTGATGTGGCTGCATCACTGTAGTATGCTTGAAGGATACATACCCAAAAGAACTTTGCCATAGTTAAACTTCTCTTCTAGTCAAAAAGATTTTTATAAAGAGTGTCACCAGGATTTCACAGGAGTTCTTCAGAAAGCTAAGTGTGGTTTTAAGCTTCCTTTACTTTTTTTAAATAGTTGTTTAAAAACAAAACAAAACAAGACCAAAAAAAAAGCCTTTATTTTATTTATTTATTTTTATGTGGTGCTGAAGATTGAACCCAGGGCCTTGTGCATGCTAGGCAAGCGCTCTGTCGCTGAGCCACAACTCCATCCCCAAGATTCCTTTCTTATAAATGCCAGGTTTGCAGACAAAACATATGAAACCTCTGTCTAGTTTAAGAATATGAGGCAGAGAGTAACTGTTATATGAAACCCCATCCCCCACTGAGTATACTTCTTAAGGAATTTCCAGACTCAGGGTACAGARACTTTTAGGGATTAGCTCCTCTGGACCACTGCAGCTTAAATAAACCTGCTTTCTGAAAATTCCTCAGATGTCCTGCCTCACCTGTTCTATATAATGCTGATTTTATGTCCTTTGGGTATATACTAAAGAATGGGATAACTGGGTCAAATGGTGGTTCCATTCCCAGTTTTCTGAGGACTCTCCATACTGCTTTCCAGAGTGGTTACATCAATTTACGGTCCTAACAGCAATGTATGAGTGTACCTTTTCCCCCACATCCTTGCCAACATTTATAGTTACTAGTATTCTTGATAATTTCCATTCTGACTGGAGTGAGATGGAATATCAGTGTAGTTTCATTGTATATTTTTAAATAAGATGGCAGTAAGAAATCAAAAGTATTACTTCCTATGAATGAAGACCTTCAGTGGTCATCATCACCATCACCTTCACAAACCCAAAATAGCCAGTGGAGCTAGTAAAGCTTAATTGCTAAGAGGAAACAAATGCCAATTTAGCAAAATGGGATTACTTATTTGAATCTAAGACAATGTAGGGGGAAATGTAAACTCTAAGGACACCCTTCAAAACTGCCTTGTAAAACTAAATCATAATTTAGCAATACATATGTGGCAAGATTTTACATTTTGTCTTTCCTACTACCACATGAAATACTCTTGTCCAATTATAGGGAAACTCAGGCTTAATACACTAGAGTTCAGTATATTTAGAGTACTAGACCAGCAGTTTATGTCACGCAGCTAATGAACAGTTTACTCTAGATTCTATATTATGATTTGAATATCTGCCTCTTAACACAAAACATATACATAGGGAAGACTATAGAAACAGTAAAAAGATTGATAAACTCACTCTAGGGATAAGTGACTATAGCAATGAATTGATTAAAACAGAATTCATACTTTAAGGACCTAAAGGAGTAACTTTAGTTATAAATCACTTGGCTATCATGCACAAGGCCTTGGGATTGATCCCCAGCACCACAAGGAAAAAAATATTGGTGGGGGGGGGAGAAGCTTTAACAAGTATCTCCTAGTAGAATATGAAGCATCAATGATAGGACTTAAAAAAAAAATCCTGGGGCCTCACACATACTAAGTACTACCTCTGAGCTATATCCCCAGCTCCTTGCCGTCTCTCTCTCTCTCTCTCTCTCTCTCTCTCTCTCTCTCTCTCTGCATTTATTCTTTAATCACTTTAATAGTCAGTTGCCTAAGCTGCCTCAGATTAAATTACATGTCTAAAAATTTATTCCCAACCAGAGAATAGCCTACTTTTTACTTCATCAGCTGATAAAGAGGCATCAATAGAAATACTGGCAGAGTTTTGAAGGGAAAGAGCCTGACACTAGACTTCCTGGTTTGTTTAATTTAAGGTGTACAACATGATGTTTTGATACAGTGAAATAATCAATCAAGTCAATTATTATATTATTTCACATAATTAACTTCTAAATAATTTGAATACTGCTACAATGAACATGGGAGGGCAGGTCTCTCTATGAGGTGCTGATTTCATTTTTTTTTCAGTATACATCCAGAAGAGAGATTGCTGGATCATATGGTAGTTCTATTTTTAAATTTTTGAGGACTTGCTGTACTGTTTTTCATAATGTCTGCAACAATTTATATTCCCACCAACAGTAAATATAAATTGACTAAATTCATCAATCAAAAGGTAAAGATGGGGCTGGGATTGTGGCTGAGCGGTCTAGTGCTCACCTAGCACGAGCGGGACCCCGGTTCGATTTTCAGCACCACATAAAACTAAAGGTATTGTGTTGTGTCCATCTACACCTAAAATAACTAAATAAATATATTTTTTTAAAAAGGTAAAGATGGTTTTTATTTTCAAGCTTGTTGTGTGACCGTGGTCAAGTTACCTATCCTCTCTGTTTCCCTCATCTGTAAATTGGGGCTCAGGGAAATACCTATCTAGACAGTTAACCTGAGGACTGAGTTAATACAAAATAAAGCAACAAGAATGTTTTCATCACACAATAAGCTTTCAGATTAAAATGTCAGGTTTCTGAGTATCTGAAAGGGGGCATTTAGAGAAATGGCTACCTCTGGGTCAATCTTATGTTATAAAGTCCATRTATTTTCTAAGCAATTGTTACTCTCAAGTGTATGCAGAGCTTGTCAATAAAGCAGCTTTTTTTTTTCCCCAGCAAATGATCAAATAAAAAGTACTGAAACTTTCAAGTGAAGCACTGTCTTCAAAATTCTAGAGCTCCTCCACTCACTTCTCTACTCAATGGAAGCCTCTGTCCCTCTCAATTTACTTTTGTTCTACCTTCCTGATCATAAAATTTTGGGATTTATACGCAAAATCATGTAATAAAATTTGACCTTTCTCAGCTCAAATCCTCCTTGGATCAGAAGAGGATGGAATCTTCGAGACCCTGTAAATACCCTTTGTATTGGACTCAGGATTATTTTTGCGGCAGAGTTTAGTAATCTTTTCCTCTACTCCCAACTTTTCTTGCCCAAAGTATTCTTCAGGGTTGAGAAGCAGGTAAGAGAGGGGGTGAGATTCGCTGCTGGAATGGTCATATGTATCAGTTTTTCGTGTGTGTGTGTGKGGGAGAACCGCAAACATGTCAGGACGACACAGCATACAAAGGCTGATCGTACTGGTTTGAATTTAGTTCTAAAAAACGTGTTTATTAAAATGAATGGTTGACACTAACCGCAAAGGAAAGACGAGGGACGGACAGGTCCGCCAGGCCCMGTCCTGCAGGACCGCCAGTTAGCTGGCAACTCCGGGTAGGCGCCTGCAACCAGAGGTAAACAGAGCTACTACGCCTGCGCACGCCCACAGGGGTCACGTGCCGTCCTGGGCCTGCGAAATCGCCCCGAGGGCGGTCCGACAGCTATTAGAGTCCGTAGGCAAACAGAAGAGGGGCGTCAACCTTTTTCCTTAGGGGGCGGATTCGGGTCTTGTGGAGCGTTCTGTCGGAAACGCCCCCTTTTTCCTCCGGGGCGGGACGAGTGAGGCCCAGTACTGTGTCTGCCGCGGCACCTCAGTAGGGTATGGCCCGCTGTGAGGAGGGCGCCACGGTGTCCGTGGCACTTCTGGGGTCCCCTGGAGTTTGCAGTAAAGGGTTGCAAAGGAAGGGTCTCTGTGAACGGCGCCGGCTGAAGGCGACGGTGTCGGAGCAGCTCAGCCAGGATATGCTCAGGTAGGAGGAGGCGGGAACTCTGGCTGCATCAGTTGCTTCAGTGTCCACCTTCGCCCCCGAAGCTGGGGCTTCCTCCAACTCGGTCTCCCCCATCCCTCCCTACCTCGTTCCCCTGGACTCCGGCAACTGCGGGATGTTCGCCAGTCTCTCCACTCCTCCGACACCCAGATAACCAGTCTCAGTATTTCAGACACCACTGACCACATTCAAAGGAAAAGCAAAATTGTGGTTATATGCAGCACCCGTTTGTGCTAAGATATTCTAACAAGGGGCAGTGTTGAAGACAAATCACTAAGGTCGGGGTGGATTCCTGTTAAGAGACATACACTTTTTTTTTTTAAATTTAAGAAAGTAGTTGAAATTAGGCATATTTGTATTGAGGAAAGATAGAACAAATTACTGGAGACTTGGATTTGCCCTTTTCTGTGAGCTCTGCTGGAGCTCTCTTTTAAAAGGTTTACCAGGAATGCTTATATAGAAATACTTCCTGATTGCAACCTGGCTTTCCCTCTCCACCTAGAACACTCTGTGGTTCCTACCAACTCCCATCTCCCAGGAGGACCCAAGAAAATGAAGGGTTGTCCTGAAGCTAGGCCTGTGAATATCTTCCTTAATCTGTAAAGAACCCATTTAAAGTCATCTCTCTTTATAAAGAAAATTAATTCAGCTAATCTCCATTACCTTTAAAACATTGTTTCTTGAACTTAAATGTGAATCAAAATCACCTGGAGGGCTTGTTAAAACAGGTTGACTGGGTCCCATCCCAAAGATCTGATTCAGTTGAGCTGGGACCKGGCCCCCAAGGTTTTGTAGTTCTGATAAGGACCAGGTGATGCTCATTCTCTTGGTTGCAGTCATACTTTGAGGACCACTGAACCAGAGTACACAGAATTACTAATAATAACTAGCAATTGTGCACCATTCTACATTTAAAAAGTGCTTTCTGAAAGAAACTCGCCCACACAAAAATTTCCTATAGCAAGAATTGGAATTTTATTAAAGAAAAAAAAATCCCTTTAATTTTGACCTATCTACCAGGGATACTACTTTGTATCCACCAGTGGGGGACTGATATAAAAGAGGAAAAAATAAGAATGAAGCTATTCTCTTTCTAAGGATAGCTAAGGATGAGATTCTCCCTCTTTTTAGTAGCTTTATTTGTCTGGCTGTTTTGTGAGCCTTGAAGTATCATGAATTTAAGAAAGGTAACACATCTAAATTAGATAAAAGAAATGAGGTGCCAGGTATGGTGGTGCACGTCTTTAAATTCCAGCCGCTGGGGAGGCTGAGACAGRAGGATCACAGGTTCAAAGCCAGCCTCAGCAATTTATGGGGGCCTTAGCAACTTAGTGAAATCCTGTCTCTAAATAAAATATATGGGGGCTGGGGATGTGGTTCAGTGATTGGGTGCCACTGAGTTCAATCCCTGGTAACCCCCACCCCCAAAAGTGTAGATGGTGAACAGTTTGTCTTCGTCCTAATGGCAATTGAGAATAGGACTCTAAACTCCCAAGTTCCAATTATAGGCAAAGAAAAATAGATGTGACAGTATTTTTTTTTAACAACATTGAAAAACTTCATATACTTACCTAACCATCTTACATGAAAGTTAATCTTCCCCAAGCACAGCAATATCACTGATTTATTCTACAAATATTAATGTAACATCTAGTTCCACTCATGTATCTAGTCCTGTACTAGGTCCTGAGGAATCAAAGATTAAGACATTGCTTTAGTGTTTGTGCTTACACTTTAGTGAGAGATGACTAAACAAAAGTGGTGGTAGAAGTAGGTTGAGGAAGGATTTAAAGGGTGATAAATTTGAGTGAGCTCTTGGGGATTAAGAATTGAAATAAAGATTGGGAAGGAAGAACTAGAGGATGTTTAAACATGGGGGATGTGTCTTACACAGACAGAGATTTGAAAGAACTTGATTTATTTGGGAAAGCAAGTTATATTAGATTCTAGGTTACCTGAGCCAATGAGATAATGTGGAGAAGTGAAGAAAAACAGGAAATAGTTTCAGCAGTTAAAAAAAAAAAAAGAAAAGATCAGATGCAGAACTGGAAAGTTGCTTGGGATATGACAATAATTGCATAATAAGACCATATAAATTCATGGACCATTGTTTGGGACAGTTTTATAAGAAAAAGCTAATATGTATTACCATCCTACTTACTTACTAGATACTGGGCTTATGTGTAATGTTTTATTTATTTTTCTCACAAATCCCAGTGAAGTAAGTCCTGTTATCATCCTCACTTAAAAAATTAAAGACACATTGTATGAACTTTATAGAAAAAATGATAGAATAAGAACCTTGGAAGTCTGCCTCCAGAATCTTTAAAGTGACTTGCCCAGGATCACATGGGCAGAATATGAGCCATAACATAAACCCAGGCAGTCTGCCCTCTCTACAGTAGCTTTAGAAACTGATCTTCTAGTAACTTTGTTTCATCATATTTGCTTTTCTCCTCACCATTTCTTTTTCTTTCTTTCTTTTTTTTTTTTTACTATACCATTGATTTGCTTCATAAGGCTCTTAAATGCCATTGGTTGGTCCCATCAACTGATGGCATCTAAGCAGTGTCCCTTCTGCTGGCATTGTCTTGCTTGACTACCACATTGGCTGAAGGCTAACTTTGGCTCAGTCCTTCATCTATTCAGATGTGATTAGGACATGAGGGCATGTAGTCCATACCAGTTCACATATAATTAATGAGTTTGTCACTTTATTAGAATATGGCAGATGATCAAAATGACAACATAGGAAGGCAAGTAGATACTCTAAGACTTGATAACAGAGTCTCTCTCTCTCTCTCTCTCTCTCTCTCTCTCTCTCTCTCATTTTTTTTCTTTTTTGTGGTACTGGGATTGAACCTAGGGGCACTCTACCACTGAATTAGATCCCCATTTCTTTTTCTTTTTTTATTTTTTTTAAATTTTGAGACAGGGTCTTGCTAAGTTACCCATGCTGACCTTGAACTTATGAGGTCTCCTGCCTCAGCCTCCAGAGTCACTGGATAAGAGGCTTTCTTCTACCAGGGAAATGTTTGTAATGTATTCTGGAGGAAGTGGTATTTTAAAAATATGAATTAAAATATTTAGGTTTTGAATTTGAGAAAAGAAATTGGAAACTGACTAGTGAGATTTTATAGTAGTCAAGAGATAAATAACAGGGTTGGTGACTGATTACATGTTGGGTAACTTGGGAAGGGAAGAATGGAAGATGACCCCAAATCTTAGGATGTTTGAAATGGAGGTGTATAATGAATGCTTGGGAAGCTCTGTATTCAGAGACAATTGGAAATACATCTGGAGTTAAGATGGAACTTGGACTAGCAAATACAGATTAATGGTTGCTGATATCACCAGCACCCAGTTACTCAGACCAAGGGTTAATCCCTTCATTTTGCCTTCTAGATCCAGTTGCTAACTTTATTAATTCCAACCCCTCTTTCTTTTTTAAAAATTTTTTTTAATATTTATTTTTTAGTTATAGTTGGACACATTATCTTTAATTTATTTATTCATTTTTATGTGGTGCTGAGGATTGAACCCAGTGCCTCACCCGGGCTAGGCGAGCACTCTACTGCTGAGCCATAACCCCAGCCCCTCCAATCCCTCTTTCTTAACCACTGATCCTCCCCTGGCTCCAATTCTTTATGTCATCTTCCTGCTGTTTAATAGTTGTCTCATTTTCATTCTCATTTTCTTCTAACTCTTTCATTACACAACTAACACGTGATTTGGTTGGGGGCTATACTGGGGATTTAGCCCAGTGTACCTCTACCACAGAGTACATACTCAGTGCTTTCTATTTTTTATTTTGAGATAGGGTCTTGTTAAATTGCTGAGATTGGCTATAAATTTGCATTTCCCTCCTGAGTTATTGGGATTATAGGTATGTGCCACCATGCCTGGCTAACAGGTAATATTTTGAAAAATAAACTTGCCTATGTTTCAAACTATTTGGTGACTCCCCTTCAACTGAAGAATACAGTTAAGCTGTTTGTCTCTCTTATTCATCCTTGTCCCTCAGCTTTATCCATCACTTTTAACCTTCTCAGTACTCTATGCAGACCATGTTGTAATTCCATGCTCACACTTAACTTTGTAAGGATTGTGGAGCTCAGGAACTCCCTCCTACTTTCCTTTATTTCTCTATGAGGTCTTAATCTATACTTGAAAAAAATTTGTGCCATTGAGTGTATCACACTCTGAATAATTTCAGGGCTGGTTTCCCTACTGTACTATAAATTCCTTGAGGGCAGGTATTATGGTTTAGTGATAACTGGGATTTTTAGCAGCAGTCTAAAATGCTTTAGTTAGACAATTCTATGATTCAACTATTTGTCCCCTCCAAAATTCAAGTTGAAATTTAACTGCCATTGTAGTAGTATTGAGAGGTGGGACCCTTAAGTGTCAATAAAGGCCATGAGGGTACCATCCTCATAGGTTATGAGGACTTATGTTCTTATAAAAGAATTTTCCCTCCTCTTAATTCTTCCTGCCCTCTTGCCTTCCACCATGTAATAATGAGTCGAGGAAACCCTTGCCAGGCGTTGGCACCTTGATATTGGACTTGCCAGCCTATAGAACTATAATCCATTAAAATTTTGGTATTCTGTTATAGCAGTATAAAGTGAACTAAGACAGGTTAATACAGTAGTTAGCAAAGAAATGAGGTGGAAAGAAGCTGGGTCTTGACAATCTTGAGCTTTTGCTTTTGCTTCAGTCTGCCCACCCTCTAGGCTTTACTGTTACTTAAGTCAGTAACCCCTCTTCATGTTCAAGCCAATCTGAGTCAGATTTTGTTAGTTATAATGGTTACAGGATATACTCWCAATAGATACAAGTGGTTTTATAAAATAAAAAGCAATATATTTCCACATTAATAATTTTTAAATATTTATTTATTTATTTCTATGTTGTGTTGAGGATCGAACCCAGGGCCTCACACATATCAGGCAGGTTCTCTACCATTGAGCTACAACCCTAGCCCCCACACTAATAAATTTTAACACAACGTTTTTCTTTCATTTAACAAATACTCAGGAGTATCTCTTACAAACAGGAGATTCCCTAGTGATGGTTGTTTGACTACCAGATGCAGTGCTTCCTTATTCACTTGAAGAAGGGAGAAATAGGGAGAAAACGGGTGGGAGAAAGGAAAAAATTGAGTGTACAATTTGAGTTTTTTAATTAAAGTTTGAAAGAATAGCACATTTGTATAACTTTAAAATTACTTAGGAAAATAATATGAAAATATTGATCAAAATAAGACATATGTCTGCTTATTATTTTCAAGATTTTGAAAGCTTTTGTGCTCCGAAATATTTGTTTTGAAATGTATGAAATATGATATGTCAAGAGCTTTGTAATGTTTTGAACAACTAATTAAAAAAAAGAAAAAAAATTTGTTTTGTTTAGGGTAAAATAGGATCTTTTAATAAACAGATATTGAACTCTTGCTGTATACTGAAGATATACAGTTTTTGTCCTTGGGGAGTTCATTGTCTAATAGGGAGAACACACATAAAATAATGATGCAATGGCAGAAGTGCTGTAATAAAGGTATGTACTGAATGTAATGGGATTAGAGGAAGAAGCCATTTGCTTGCTCTTGGGGGAGGATGAGTGTCATTGGCAACTTTCCAAGATGGCTATCTTTACCCATTACTTGTATAGTCTATAGTGTACTACTGTGATTGCCAATTATATCTTGCAATACAGAAGTCTTCTGAGAATACATACCTTGACAATTATATTGCTATAGTGATATCAAGTATTGTTTCATATTTAGAGTGTAAGTATAATGGTTACTGCAAAAAGACAAAAGATTAAAAAGTTTCAATTTTTTATTTCTGTTCTTCCATTACTTTCTGTATGAATGAAATCAATAGGCTTTATCATAATTATGTCTCTATATTAGTAAAGGGATTTGAATGGGTTTACCCCTGAGTTCATCATTTTAAAAATACATTACAGCATGACTAATTCTATTTGGGTGGAGGGAAAAGGGCCTAAATGTCACATTCTTGACATCCAAGCTTGCATGTCAGACTTGGTAATTAACAATCAGAACAAAGTGTACCAGTTTCTAACCTGAATTGTCTATTGTTATGTTTGATTTGTTGGTGTTATTGACCATTGACTTTTTTTGCTTCAATTTTAGTAAGATTTTTAAAAAGTTTTTTCTTCTTAATAGTCAGCAACCATGTTAACTTTGTGTTCTGTGTTTCAAAAAAAATCTAAAGGAGGTACATTACATATGAAAGACAATGTAAGTATAAAATAAATTTTATTATTAGAAGGAATTAAAATACATTTTGGAAAAAATGGTCAGATTCTTTTAGTGAAATTGCCTTTGTTTTTACTATAAATTCTTAGAACATTAGATTCTAAGCCAATATTAAGTGTTCTTTGGAATGAAGTTAGAACAAATCTATTTTTACTCTTATTTTGTTTCCTGTACATTTTAAAATTATGTTATTTTTAAATCTGCTTTATAAAAATTCTATATTTCTTAGCATCACTAATTAAACTATGATTCTATTTCATTCCTTATAGGCTTTTAAGGGAAGAAATCCATACAGATGTTACTTTCTCTACAGATTATACTTTGTTCAAAGCACACAAAGCAGTCCTTTTAGTAAGGGTTCCTGACTTCTATTTCCATATTATTGGACAGACATCAGACAGTATAACGAATCATGAGCCTGTTCCTGTGGAGAATGTTGAAGTTTTAGAATTTAGAACATTTTTACAGTAAGTGCTCTTTTTTCCTATTACATTTAATTCTAATAAATAATTGGTATTTTTAAGCATGTATAGTGTGTGTATGTTTTCATTTCATTTATTTTCATCTCTTTAATAACCTGGTAAGGAAAATCTATTAATTTGAATTATAAATTACCATAGTAATTAGTATTAGTAGAATCTATTATTATCATAGGCTAATTATTAATAGAAGCTCAGTACAAATTTAAGACTGATCCTGGCCTGCAATTGTTGCTCAGTGGTAGAGTGTGTGCTTAGCATGTACAAAGGCCTAGGTTCGATCTCTAACACATACACACACACACACACACACACACACACACACACACAAAAGACTGATCTTAGGAGAGAAGAAATGAATGGTGTGCTCTCTGATAATTTGAATGAATTATTCTATGCTAGGGTGACACCATTGACATTTTGGTTTAGATACTTTTTTGTTGTTGTGGGGGCAGTGCTTTGCATTTTATGATGTTAGTTGTGCCATCTTCAGACTTTGCTATATATCCTCAGGGAGTTAGGTGTGTGTGGCTATTGAGAACCATTGGCACATACTGATTTATTAAATAGGGGCTGGGGTCGTGGCTCAGTGATAGAACACTCACCTAGCATGTGTGAGACACTGGGTTCAATCCTCAGCACCACATAAGAATAAATAAAAATAAAGCTATCATGTCCAACTACAGCTAAAAAATATATAAATTTTTAAAATAAAACTTTAAATAGTTTATAAAATATATTAGATCATAACTGTTTTTATTCTCATGGCTTATGTCTTAGTTCATTTGAACTGCTAAAAAAGGAAGTACCTTGGTTCTGGTAATTTATAAACAACAGAAATTAATCACTACAGTTCTGTATTTTGGGAAGTTCTAGATAAAGGTTCCAACAGATTTTGTGTTTGATGAAGGCTACTTCCATATAGATGGTACCTCCTTTATGCCTTCACATGGCAGTTGTTATGGACAAACTCCCTCAGGTCTCTTTAAAGGGCACTAATACCATTCATAGGTTGGAGCCCTCATGGCCTAATAATCATTCAATTGTCCCACCTTTTAATACCACCACATTGAATTAAGTTTCAACATAGAATTTGGAGAACATAAGCATTAAGACCATAGCAGCTTTATGTGGTCAAAATTTTTTGAAAATAGATCATCAGTTAAACTTTATAGTATTTGGGGGATTCATGTGTTTGATGAACTTAGAAAATTCTCATCAACTAAATAATGAGAGAAACTAATTTAACTTAATCCCATTCTGTACTTCATTTCTTTTTATTATTTAATAATATTCAGTTGTGTATCACATTTTATTTATCCATTTATCAGTTGATGGTCATTTAATTTTTTTTCTATTTTCTTGGCTATTATGAATAATGCTGCCATGAACCTTTATGTACAAGATTTTGTGTGAATTTATGTTTTCATTACTTGTGGGTAAATATGTAGGAGTGAAATTTGGTAGGTCATATGGTAAGTCTATATTTAATCCATTGAGGAATTCCCAGACTTTTCTAAAATGGCTATACCATTTTACATTCCCATTGTCAGTAGATGAGAGTGAATTTCTCCATATTCTCAGCAACATTTATACCTCTGTCTTTTATTATAGTTATCCTATAGATATGAACTAGTATCACATTGTGGTTTCCATTTGTGTTTCCCTAATGTTAAGCATATTTTATATACTTATTTGCCATTTTAATATCTTTTTTGGGGTGCTGTTACTGTTCTTTGCCATTTTTTAAATTGGGTTATTTGTCATCATTTTACTGAATATTCCTTATATTCTAGAATATTAGACTCTTACCAGATATATGATTTGCAAATATTTTCTTTCATTTTGTAGGTTGTCTTTTTCACTTTCTTGATGGTGCCATTTGTGACATGAAAGTTTAATTTTTTTTTTTTTGTACTGGGCATTGAATTCAACGACATTCTACCACTGAGCTTCACTTTCAGCCATTTTTATTTTTATTTATTTATTTATTTATTTTTTAAAGAGAGAGTGAGGAGAGAGAGAGAGAGAGAGAATTTTTAATATTTATTTTTTAGTTCTCGGCGGACACAACATCTTTGTTGGTATGTGGTGCTGAGGATCGAACCCGGGCCGCACGCATGCCAGGCGAGCRCGCTACCGCTGAGCCACATCTCCAGCCCTTATTTTTATTTTTTAATTTCAAGACAGGGTCTTACTAAATTGCTGAGGCTGCCCTTGAACTTGCAGTCCTCTTGCCCGAACCTCTGGAGTGGCTGGGACTACAGGACTTGCCACTGTGCCTTCTACAAAGATTTACTTATATTTTCTTCTAAGGATTTTATGGTTTTATACTTTTGGCTCTTACATGGTCTAAGATCCATTTTGAGTTAATTTTTTTTTTTTTAATATTTATTTTTTAGTTCTCGGCGGACACAACATCTTTGTTGGTATGTGGTGCTGAGGATCGAACCCGGGCCGCACGCATGCCAGGCGAGCGCGCTACCGCTTGAGCCACATCCCCAGCCCTGAGTTAATTTTTTTTGTGTGATGTAAGGAATCATGTCCGACTTTATCCACAGTTGTTTCAGCACCATTTTTTGAAGTAACTCTTTTACCACTGGAACATTTAGACACCTTTGTTGAAAACCAGTTGTACATTGCTCTGGATTGAATTCTCTTCCTCTAAAATTTTATGTTGAAGTTCTAACCCTTATATGATGATAGTTGAAGATAAGGCCTTTGGTAGTTAGATTTAGGTAATTTCATGAAGGTGGATTCCTCATAACATTAGTGACCTCATAAGAAGAGAGACCAGAGAGCTTGTGCTCTCCTTCTGTCACCACTCTCTGAAGACACAGTGAAATGGTGATGTCTGGAAGCCACAAAGAGGGTCTTTACCAGAACCCAACCATTACTGGCACTCAGATCTTAGACTTCTGGACACCAAAACTATGTGAAATAAATTTTAATTATTTAAGCCACATAATTTATGGTATTTTGTTATGGTAACCTGAGCTGACTGATACACTCATAAATATAAGGGTTAATTTCAAATCTATTCCATTGATATGTATATCTGTAATTATGCCAGTATCAATGGTCAGTTTTTGCTTTTCTGAGAAATAAAGGTGGATTATTGTGTCTTTATGTCCTGCATCATATTTTCTGATATGCCTTTTGCTTGTAATCAGAATCACATTGACTTTAGTGTAGAAAATTGTCTTTGGATCATTAAATTTTAACTATATGTGTGTGATTTGGCCTATTCTTCATTATATGTTCTGCCAGTTGGTAGAGTCATCTGTTTTTTTTTAATATTTATTTTTCAGTTTTAGATGAACACAATATCTTTATTTTTATTTTTTTATGTGGTGCTTAGGATCAAACCCAGTGCCTCATGCATGCTAGGCGAGCGCGCTACCACTTGAGCCACATCCCCAGCCCGTGGTTTGTTTTTTTTTTTTTTTTTTTTGAGTTATATGAAGCTCTCCTATAAGCAAAATGGAAAATTTGCAAATTGCCTACCCTTGATTTTTCTTGTTTCTTAGAACAGCATGATATACTATAATTAAAAAAGATATTTTAAGTGTTATTTAGAAAATTATTATTTTCCAGTGTAGACCACAGGCCTTTCATTGAGAGTTCCAAATATCAATTTTAAAACATATACCTTTGGGGGTGCTGAGGATATAGCTCAGTGCTTGCCTCCCATGTACAAGGTGCTGGGTTTAATCCCCAGCACCATAAATAAATAAATAAATAAATAATTTTTTTCCCCCTAGTAGATGGTACAGTGGAGTTCTTATGAAAACAGGCTTTGTAGTCAATCCAGGTCTACCGTTTCTAAGTGTATAAACTTGTACTAATCACTTACCATTAGTTTTCTCATCTAAAAATAGCCATAATAATAATAATATCTACCTCATAGAGTTATTGTGAGGTTTAAGTGAAATAATTGTAAAGTATTTAGCACAGTAACCTGATATTTAATAAGCACTGAACAATTTTTTTTTCTTTTTTGGTAGTACTGGGGATTGAATACAGGGGCACTTTACCACTGAGCTATATCTCTAGCTCTTTTTATTTTGAGAATGAGATCTTGCTAATTTGCCTAAGTTGGCCTTGAACTTGCAATTCACCTGTCTCAGCCTCCCAAGTCACTGGAATTATAGGTGTGTGCCACCTTACATTGCACACTGTACAAATTTTAATAAATTTGTTCATATTAGTAGCACTTTGAAATTATACATTTCTGCGGCTATTAAGTGCATGTTTAAAAGAAGATCCTGAGCCAGGAGCAGTGGTACATTTCTGTAATCCCAGCTACTTTAGCACCCTGAGGCAAGAGGATCACAAAATCAAGGCTAGCCTCAGCAATTTAACAAGATTCTGTCTCACAATAAAAAATAAAAAGGCTGGGGATGTAGTTCAGAGGGAGAGTACCCCTGAGGTTAAATCTTAGTACTGTAAAAAATCAAATTAGTCAGTCAGTGAAGATCCTAGAAATAGCTTAAATTTTTCTACATTAGAGAGAAATCAGTGTTATTCTTTATTACATTAAAAGTGATGGGGGAAAAGATTAAATTAGAGGTAGAACAAGAGAGTGAAGTCAGTCTTAGACTTGGCATCAAAATAACTATCTGCCTCCTTCTAGCTGTGCGTTATCTTGTTTGATTTCTTTCAGCCTCAGTTTTCTCATTTAAAACAAGGAAGTTGGAGTAGCTGGCTTTGTACTTCATAGCATTTCACAGTGCTATATTTTAAGCAGTTAATCGTATTCTATTTTATATTAGGTTAGTCATGTATGTCTGTGGTTATGTAAGCTCTTTGAGAATAGATTGTCTCATTGATGTGCACATCCAAATGATATCTAGTATCTTATACCTAGAAAGTGCTTGTGATGTGCTCTCTGTTAGCAGATTGTGTTGAAATTTGACTACATTAAAATAGTGCATAAGGAGAGTATTACAATGGAAAATAGATATTAAATTTCTTTTAGTTAAAGCTGATAAAATAGATTTTTGAATTTTTGGCATATGAAATTCAGTTCTTTGTAAGTTTCTTCAGTTCATATCCTTTCTCTTGAATCAATAAAGATTTTTTTTGTTGCTACTTATTCTACAATAATTCCTTTCGTGTATACTTGAATTAGAGTATGAAATATAGTTTTTGAAAAGTTGTTTTATATGCAGTGACTTCAGATATGGCTCAAATGTCAGTGGAAAATAGTGCTTGCTTTATGACTTCATGATTAAAATTCAAGTGAAGATCATAAAACTCTTTGATTTCCCCAGAAGACTTACCATTGTTATTATGTCTGTATGTATGAGAGGGAAAGATGAGGGAGGACTTTGAATTTTCAGTTTAACATTAATAACTGGGAGATGCTATAATAAAGTATCAGATAAACACATAAAACAACACAGGACAGCTTTCTTAGGTGGTGGCTATTTTCTCTGTTCATTCCTTTTATTACTCAGGCTGGAAATGGGTAGAATATATGTCTTCTTTGTATTAACTATAACTTGTGTATTTTTTTCTTTTGGTACTGGGAATTGAACCAAGCACATTGTGCCTGTTAAGTCTGCACTCTACCACTGAGTTATACCTCCAGCCATGTATTTTATTTATTTTTGAGACAGGACCTCAGTATGTTGCTCAAGCTGGCCAAAAACTCCTGGTCTCAAGTGATTCTCCCAACTCAGTTGCAGGCCCATGCCAGTGCACCTGTTTTCAGCCATGTATTCTTGATGCCTTGGTATTTGGAGTCTTACAAACTAACTGGGGAAAGAATTCCCCTCCCAGGGTTAACTTGTTCCTAGAGATAATAAATGACTTGCCTGTGAATACATCTTTTATATGCAAATCAGCCAATCTTGAGTCCATATACCCACCCATACACCTTCCTCCATCTAATTCTTACACTCCAGGAGACAATATTCCTCTACCCTGATCACCCCAGGGTCAGGTATCAGACAACTGGGGTGATCAGGGTAGAGGAATTCTACCTATATATAGCTAGGAGCTTGACAACATTATTTAACTATGTAATCCTAATCCTGTTCAGTTACTCACCTCACCTTGCTCATTCCTTCCTAGGAAAACCACAATAATGGCTTTTGAGGGCCTGAGTTTGATCCCCAGTACTGGAAGACAAAAAAAAAAAAAAAAGCCTTTGTCTATATTTTTTCCTGTTCCTTCTCCCTCCTAACCAAATCTGTTGCTTTTTCCCATGTGGCCCTGCATAGCACGGTTCACCCCCCACCTTCTGGGAGTTGTAAATTACAGATTATCTTTTCAGTAGCAATAATTTCCTGATCTGTCTGCCTCACTATACCTRAACAAACCCCAAATCCCTGGTACAGTTTAAACCACATATGAATATCATTGCTGCCTTCAGACCATTCTCCCCCCTTATTCCTAAACTCCATGTCTTTGAATCTCATTTACTAGTCTATATACCACTAGGTGGTCATCCATAGACCTCCAGGTCAGTACTCCTCATTCCTCAAAGTTTTTGGCTACTGACTTTTGTCAGTTTCTCTATAACACAATTCTTGGTAATTCCAATTGCTGCATAGATAATGCTTCCACTAACTTTGCCTCTCAGTCCCCTTAATTGCTATCTTACAGTTTTCTTGTTTTCTACTTTACCTAATTTCCCAGCACAACCCAGTGTTAGTGTGTGAGAACCAGCTCCAAGGTGTCATGAAACCAAAGAGAGAGGCAAATAGAATTGTACAGAGTGCAATTTATTGAGGCACTTACTGATGGAAGCATGATAAATGGCAACAGCAAAACCAGTTGGAATCCTGCAGTTTGGGTCAGAAAGAGAGGTTAGGTTAGGACAAAAGTGACTTCATTCTAGCTGTAATATACCTGGTTTATCGTAAGATAATATCAAAGAATTAGGAACATCCTTGGAGCCAGGGCCCACTCAAATAATTTTGTTTATTTATAGTTTGCTGGGGAACTATAGAGGAAAAACTGACTAGGATTATTCTGGGAGTGATATGAGTTTATGCCTCAAGATAGCTATAGTCATTTAAGCTGAATTCATATACCTCAACTATTCACTACCATGTCAAATTGTAACTCATGTCATTACCAGTAGCTGACTCTATAATCTCTATTCTAAGCATCTCACTCCCTAATTTCTACCTCCTATCTTTCTAGCCTACTCCTTTTAGGACTCCAGCTGTAATGACTCATTATTTTAGTGCATTTTCTGTTGCTCTTACAGAATACCTGAGACTGGGAAATTTATAAAGAAAAGAGGTTTATTTGGCTTATGGTTTTGAAAGTTCAAGAGCATGGTGCTGGCATCTGCTTGACTTCTAGTGAGAGCCTTGTGGTAGAAAGTGGAAGAGAAGTGAGTGCAGGCAAGGAGAGACACATATATGAGAGAGACCAAAGGGAGGTGCAAGGCTTGCTTTGTAATAACCCACACATGATAACTAATCCAGTCTCTGAGGAAAGACATTATTGATGAGGGCAGTTTCCCTATTACCTAGTTACCTCCAAAGGCCCCACCTGCCATATTGGGAATCAAATTTCAGCATGAGTTTTGGTGGGGACAAACCATATCCAGACCATCGTATTCATCAATTCCACCAGGATCTGAAGTTAATCTTGCCACATTTTTAGTCTCTGATTTTCTTATGTTCTCATTTCTTTCCTATCTTATCTTAAATTCCCTTTGGCTGTGATTATATCACTCCTTTTACATACAGCCTGAACACCTTGTCCCATTGGAATTTGTTTTATTTACATGTCAAAACTGCAAATCTTATATCCAACCTTTTGACTACTCCACTCTTGCTTCGCACAGCTGAATGTGGCTGGAAAAAACACACACAGCCATGTTTGTCAGTCTTACTTTAAATTTATGGCTGTGAACATCAAGTGATGACTGTTAATTCTATGTGGTTTGGGTCTTCTATTCTACTTATATGTACAACATTGATTTTCTGTGCTTGACCACTTCTGACTTCCTGAGATAAATCCCACTTGGTCATTGTGCAGAATCCTTTTTTTTTTCTTTTTTTAAAAGAGAGAGAGAATTTTTTTGATATTTATTTTTTAGTTTTCGGTGGACACAACATCTTTATTTTTATGTGGTGCTGAGGATCGAACCCAGCGCCACGTGCATGCCAGGTGAGCGCGGTACCACTTGAGCCACATCCCCAGCCCGTGTGCAGAATCCTTTTTATAAGTTGCTGGATTCACTTTGCTGGTTTTTTTTTTTTGAGGACTTTTTCAGTGTTATCAGTAAGGAATATGAGTCTGTTTTTGTTTTATTTTTCCCATTCTGATGTCTTTTTCTGGCTTTTTTCAGGTAATACTGGCCTCAGACAACAAGTTAGGAAATGTTCTTTCCTCTCATGTTTTTTTTTGGAAAAGTTTGTGAAGAATTGATTAGTGTTAATTCATTAAATGTTTGGGGGAATTTACCAATGAAACCAGATGGCCCTGTTTTTTTGTGTGTGTGTGTGTGTGTGGAAGTTTTTGGTTACTAATTCATTCTCCTTATTTTTTAAAGGTCTACTCAGGTATTCTGTTTCTTCTTGACTCAGGTTGAGTCAAGAAGGGAGGTGCAAGGCCTGCTTTGTAATAACCCACACATGATAACTAATCCAGTCTCTGAGGAAAGACATTATTGATGAGGGCAGTTTCCCTATTGTAATTTATATCTTTCTGGGAATTGTTCATTTCCTCTAAGTTATCTATTTTTTTTGCATTGTATATTACATTTAACACTAAAAAAATTTTATACACTGCTTTTCAAAATTTGTATAGTTTTAGATTTACCTTTCCAAAGTTATTCCAGAACTAAAAGGGTTTTAAAGTTATGTTTAATACATATATAATTATTATATGTATATTTTATTATGTATAACACACATATACATATGTGTAATATATGAAAGCATCATATTGGGAAACTAGCTTTTTCTTTTTAAGACTCACCCTTATTTTAATTAATATTTTTAAAATTTTGTCTTTTAGGATTGTATATTCATCAAACAGAGACATAAAAAACTATGAAGAGGAAATTTGTAGGAAAATGAAAACAGAAAGTGGGACACTACAAAAGAAACTTGACTTCAATTTTCAAAAGTGTAAAAATTCATCTGATTATTCTCTTCAGAAGCATGAAATTTCAGAGGATATTAATGATCAAGATGACAGTTTAATTTTTAATGGTGAGATATTTTTGGTGGATTTTTAGAACATTTTATAGCCATGAAAATAATTATAATCTGATATAGTTAGAGAAAATCAAACTTCAAAAACTGCTCTACTGATATATTTTTAAAAATAAGCATAGAGAAGTGAATATACTAGTGTGATCAATTTTGAGTTTCCCCAAGTACTTAGAGATAGGGTTATTATGAATAAATCCATTTGTAATTCACAGTTTTCTTTTTAATACTGAAACCTCTACATGTCATTGTCCTTATTTTGTTCTGTACTAATAAAGAATTTTTTGAATTATAATATACACTTTAAAAAAACATCATGGAGCACAAAAATTGCTGTTATACAAAAAAAAAGATAGTAACCCAATAAAAATGGCAGCTTAGTTTTATATAAAATGGTTAAGAAATACATGACTGCTACAATTTATATGACAATTTACCTTAAAAAAGACTAAAATTGCTTGTGGAAGTAGGTGTTAGAAGGATTGAAGCTTGTGAGTTGTTGTGAATTGGTAGAAAGAGGATATTAATTAGATACATAAATATACTGACAGGAAACCTGATGTCTCTGGATCATATATATTATAGAATATTTTAGTGCCAGATCATATGTATTACAGAATATTTTAGTACCAGTTCTCAGACATCAGATTCCATGAGACAATGAAGTGAGTGCCTGTTGTTACCCTATCTGTAGAGTAGAATTGCACCACAGAAAAGGAATACCAAACTAGGAAACTAAGTTTTCCAGGTTGCTCTCCTATCTGCCAGTCATCCTCTCCAGAGAGATGGAGAGGAAGAGGGAAACACCAACTTTGGCTTTGGAAGGTAAACAAATCTTCCTTAGGGGAGAGAGGGGAAGGTAGTTTGACTACCTTGGAATGTAAGGAAATGGCTTCCTAGAAAGGCAATTCTCTAAGTCCATCTGGAGCAATATATTACTTCTAGATTCCAAGGAATGTTGCAGCTTAATCATCTTAAGCCAAGTTTACCAGTGCTTTTCTCAGAAAAGTCAGACTGTGCAGATACAAATATTGATAGAAGATGTGTCCCAAGAGTTATCTGAAATCAGAGACAAAATTTTAACACTAGGTATGAATGAATGGGTATGGCTCATAACATATAAGCAAACTGAGATATCTGGTAGATATTTAGGTGTGTGCATATATGCTTCTTATATTATTACATGGCTTGATTCATCTGGGTACAGTCTTTGGCATTGACATTGAAGTGTTTTTTATATATGAAATTRCATCTAACAACACTCAAAATTTAGTTATACTAAAATTGAACCCTAAAATATTAGTTGTGTAAAGATGTTATARCAGAATTTACTACACATGAAAATACCTGTTAACTAAAGGGTCTTATTACTGATGTTTTGTGCAGCAGCAACCATCACCACCAAACTAATTTAATCTTGGTGAGAGTCCTTTTATGTTGCATTCATTGTATCTATGAATAAATGATTAGACAGTCTAGGCTTTGAAGTATTTATTAATATCATCTGGTCTCATGTAACCCTAAGAAGTAAGTGGTTGCAGATTGATTTTTTTCAGTAAAGACTCTTATACCCACAAAACATAAAGGACTTTCTCAAGGTCATACAGAGCAATTGATAAGCTGGTAGTTGATAGACATTTTTCATGCTTCTAGTGTAGAGCTCTGCCAGTGGCCCCACAGCTGCCCTTTAAAGTGGCAAAACAAATAAATGTAAGTAAAAAGAGCTTATTTACTCATCTACCCCCATTATTTGACTTGCTTTCTCCATCACTCAAAAAAACAACAACAACAACAACAAAAAAAAAAACAAAAAAACCCTCCATGCTCACCAGTAATCTGACAGTTGCCAATTTAAGACACGTTTGGTCCACATCTTCTTAACCCCCTTGCAGTCTTTCATATCATTGCTGCTCTCCTTGAAACTTCTGTCTTCGAAATCCTGATCTCCAGGTTTTCCTTCTTGACCACTCCTCATTCTTCTTCACTGATATATCTGTCATCTTTCTGTTCCTTAAATAAATGGTATTCTCAATTTTTTTCTTGAGCTTTATATCTAACTATTGACTAGACAAAGCTGTTTAAAAATACCTTAAATATTTCAAATTTAACCTATTACATACTGATTTAATCACCTCCACCCTTTAAAAATCTATTTTTATTTTTATTTTTTTCAGTGGAAAGTATTGAACCCAGGGACTCTTTACCACTGAGCTACATTCTCAGGCCTTTTTTAATTCTTTATTTTGTGACAGGGTCTGCTTAGATGCTGAGGCTGCCCTTGAACTTGTGAGATTCTCCTACCTCAGTCTCCCAAGTAGCTGGACTAAGGCTTATGCCACTGTGCTATTTCTTTTTCTTTTTCTTTTCTCTTTCCTCCCTCTTTCTTCCCTCCTTCATTTCTTCGTTTTATAGTGCTGAGGATTGAAGCCAGGGGTCTCACATACTAACCTGCAACCCCATCCCCTTCTTTATATTTTATTAGAGATAGGGTCTCACTAAGTTACTGAGGCTGGCCCTTGAACTTGTGATCATCTAGCCTCAGACTCCTGAGTAGCTGGGATTAGAGGCTTATGACGGATGCAAATGGAGGCAGAAATTCCAAGTTTGTTACATTTGTAGGACCAAGTGAAAAATTGGTGTTTTCAGCAAAAGCAGCCTCTAAGTCATTGTTATAGTAACAGGGAGCCAGATGTCATGGGGCCTTCTAAGACATTGTTGAAAACTTTAGTTTTTATTCTAAAAGAAATGGAGTGAGACATAAAGGGTTTGAACTGAATTGCATTTTTAATGCAGTTTTGGAAGCTTTGTTAAAAATAGATTGTGGAGGTTAAGAATAGGAGAACAGTTGAAAGATGCTGGTGGCTTGGACTAAAGTATAGGAGTGCAGGTGTTGAGTAGTATTTGGATTCTGGATCTCTTTTGATAGTAGAGCCAAAATTGGCATTGTAATATATATTCCAGATTTGTAAATTTGTTTAGTGAGAATCTGTTATGATTGAATGAACYTTACCAGATATACTAACTAAATAAAGTTTTCTAGATTGTCAAAGTATGACATACAATTGTTTAAAGAAAATCTTTAGACAAAGTAAATCTGAGTTATTTGAACAAGAAATAATTAATGAATAAATAAGCTCTCAGAATCAGAAGAGGTTCAGAAGGGTCTACTCTACCACATCGACAGTAGGTATTTATAGACAGAACATGGAAGTAAAGTACAGAAATAGCCTGATGGACTACAGTTAGGCCTTTGTCTTAATGGACATGATCTAAGTTGTTGACTACCTGTGATTAGATGACATGTCACTGCTTGTCTTTCTTTTCCTTCCTTCCTTCCTTCCTTCCTCCCTTCCTTCCTCCCTCCCTCCCTCCCTCCCTCCCTCCCTCCCTCCCTCCTTCTTTCTTTCTAGTGGAAATTGAACCCATGAGTGTTTTACCACTGAGCCATACCCTAGTCCTTTAAAAAAAAACTTTTTTTTTTTTTTTTTAAAAAATTTTGAGGCAGGGTCTCACTAAGTTGAACATGCTGGCCTCTAACTCAAATTCTGCAGCTTCAGCCTCTCAGGTTGTTAAGCAGGAATCATTGACTTCTGCTTCTGTTTGGTTGAGCTCTGGCTATTACCAAAAATATATACTCCTAAGTTAGGTTGCAGTTTATTATGTAAGAACTCAAAGGGTGGATATAGTATCAGGTCAAATGTTAATTTAGCACAGTGTAGTTTACACACACACACACACACACACATGTATACACACGTACACACATGTACACACACACACACAGTGACATACAGTGATGAGCCATGATATACAGTATAGCATTTTTTCCTTCTTAGGTATACATGTCTTATATTTCATTTCCTACTACCTAAATGGTGAATCTTTTGAAGAAGAGAAAAATTTTTTTAAATACTTATTTTCTAGACCTCTTGTTTCCAGTACTAATCTCATGGTAAGTTCTCTAATAACCCACTGATTTCAGTTGAATTTCTTTCATATCAGTTTACATGTCAGTCTAGCCATATTGTCATAAAGTAAGGTGTTTTGTCAGCTTTGCATCATTATAATGAACTACATGAGATAATTAACTCATAAAGAGAAATGGCTTATTTGACTAACAGTTTTGGAGATTCTAGTCCAATATCAAGCAAACCAGTTACTTTGGGCCTTTGGTGGGTGTGCCAGATGACAATGGTGGGAAGTACCCGTCACAATAAACTGCTCACCTCATGGCCAAGAAGTGAAAGAGAAAGAGGCCAGGGTCCCACAAATCTCCTTCAAGGACATGTCTCCAATGACTTAAAGACTTCCCACTTAGCCCTACCTCTTGAAGGTCTATAGCACTTCCAATAGCACCACCCTGGGGACCATGCTTCTAACATATTGACCTTTGGGGGACATTCAGCTTCAAATACGGAATGGGAAGGAATTAAATAGTGGAAAGGAATGTCAAAATTGGAAAAATGTCAAACTTTCATGAAGTAAATTCATTTTGGGCATAATTTTGTGATATTATGCTTATATGTGCATCTATTTAAAGGCATATCTATATTTAAGTATAAATGAAAATACATATGTCAAAGTAGAGAGTGTAGATGATTTAAAATTCTTTTATTTGAATTTACCACTGTTTAAGCAAGTTGAGATAATTATGTAAGAAAACCTTGCTAATATTAAAAAACAAAATTTGGGGATATTTATAATATTAAAGAAACTCATTTAGTCTTATTTTTGTCTTTTAAAGATAATTATGACTTRGAACCTGCATCTGAATTAGGAGAAGACTTATTGAAGCTTTATGTGAAACATTGTTGTCCAGATATTGATATTTATGTTGATGGAAAAAGGTTTAAAGCTCACAGGTAAGTAGATGTGATTGATTTGGTGTGTTGGTTGTGATATTGGAGTGTAGAAGAGTGATTCTCATTTTCTAATACAGTGGTTTTCAAGCTCTACTCCATGTAGGCTATAGTGATTCCACAGTGACTCCTCAGGGAGTCTCTGATAGGGGAAAATTTGGGGTATCAAACCTGGATTTCCCGCCTGCAGGATCATATATGCACCCATGGGTTCACCCAGATGTGCACATGCACATTTCAGCCAGAGCAGATCTCATCTGTTCTTTGCATTGGACATAAACCTAAGATTTCATCGATTTCATTAGATGMAAATGTTCTGTGCTTGAAATGGGTTTGAAAGCCACTGTCACAGAAAATGTAGTTAATGCAGTTTTAATTTTATAGACATTATAGTATTAAGAATGGTTATTTCTATGTGAATGACATGTATTTTCTCTGAATACATTTTGGCATAAATTCTGTGATACAAAATAGAGGATTCTCATAAATAGCATTGATTAGGAGGTTTAATACTTCAGTGTACTTTTTAAAAACCCTGTTTTGCTTTAAAACTGGGTTGCTTATACATTCTAGTCTTTTAGATTTCAAATTAAAATCTGCTGCCTGTTTTGGTTAGGCTCTTGATTGCAAGTCACTAAAATCTGCTTAAAAGAAGAAAAAATTTCATAGGAAATCCAGATTATCTGTTGGAACTCAAGGTAAATAAGTACAGCTGGGTCTTACTAGTAGCTAGAATCAGAACCAGAAATCTGAAGAACCCAAACAGTACTCCTTCTATCTGTTTGTGTTTTAAATATGAATAAGTTATTCATATTTAAAATCCATAAGTTATTCTGATGCTCTTAAGAGGAAAAACTAGACTATTTGCAATGGCAAGGAGCAATTTTCTAGGTTCAAGCGTCCATAGCCCTTAATTACATTAGCAGTAGGTTTAGATTACAGGACTCTACCAACTTAGAATTCATTCTGGTTTTTCCAGTTAATTGACAGCACACATTGCCAATTCTAGGATTAACGGTTTGAACCAGACTATTTATTATTAAAAATTTGAAGTTTTCTCTCTGGGAATATGTTATAAATCTATGTACATACATGACACTTTTTTTCTAATTCTTATGAAATCCACATTACATATAGTAAAATATAAAATGTAATATAAGTTAATACATATATTTTTATATGAGTATATTTTCTAAATCAAATCATGATGTGTGTGTGTGTGTGTGTGCACGTGTCTCTTTTTTACCAACATAATTTAAGATTTTATTTAATTTTATATCCAGATTTTTCTTGAGACCATATGTTCATTCCACCAAAGTTCTTCTTATATAACCTTAAAGCTATGCTTTCATACAAGGAAGGCCGGACCCTGTGACCATTTGCAGTTTGTCCTCAGTGTCTATATTTGGCTTTTCTCTGTGTGCTGTTTAAGAATTAGCTAACAGAACTGTGTTTTAGGAGCAGGATCCAGAATATTAGGTTTGTATTCCAGGACAATACTTGCTCACTTTCTGGTTTGTTTTGTTTACCTCTCAGTGAAAAAAGAAATTCATGTTAACTAGGAAGGTAATTTCCTGAGGAGAATTTTAAGTTCTGACTACTTTATGGCCCTTATGTAAGTTACAATAGCAAATTCTAAATCACAAGGTTACCTTTGTAGTTCAAACTTGAGCATCTCTGTTTACTGCATAATAATTTTATTATGTAGTTCAAGGAATACTAGGTCATAGTTCAGAAAATACATATTGCTATAAACCTGCATATTCTTCTAAAGCCCAACATCAGAACTTTTTTTATACCTTTATTTTATTTATTTTTACGTGGAGCTGAGGATCGAACCCAGTGCCTCACACGTGCTAGGCGAGCACTTCACCACTGAGCCACAACCCTAGCCCAACATCAGAACTTTTTAAAATACTTCTTGTTCTAGTTGATCATTATTAGCATTTTTCACATGACTGCTTTAATTATTTTCAATTATGTGTACTCATATATTAAAAGATCCATGCAAAATTTATGATCTTAATTGTATTCAGTTAAGGTTTCAACATTTAAATCAGTCCAGTTTGGTAGTTTAATATGTTTAAATTGTTATGGAAACTTAGGAATCTACTCTTCTACTGAGTTAATCTTTTTCTGATGCTCAAGTTGCTTACTTAAACACATCTCTAATAACCTAATTCTTCCAAGATTATCTTGCCATTTGCACTGTCCTTCTTTACCTGATCCTGACTTCAATGTCTAGAGCATTTTATATACTTAAAGGCAATCTGATGCCAATCACTTGTTGATAGTGGTACACTTAAGCCATATTGGTTAACTGTGATTGATTAAGTGTGTGTGGACTGTGAGCCAGTCTTCCTGGGTTTTAATTTCATCTTCACTAATATTAGTTGCATGGATTTGAGTAAGCCATTTAACTATTCATTTTGTCCTTTAGTATCCTCATCAAAGATGGGAATTATACAAGTACTTACTTCATGAAGTGATTGTGAGGATTACTTATTATACTTAAAACAGTTTGAACAGCATCTGGCACATAGTACCATATATGYTRGCTGTCATCACAATTACAGTGGATAGGCCTTTAATACAAGCTTTTGGGCAGATAGTAGCAACAGCCTCTATGCCTATTATTTATAAGGAGCAAGCAGTGAAACATGGTTTGAATCACTTGCATTTCTTCTTAATCCAAAGAAGAATAGGTTAGCAGTAGACCTCTAAGGAAGGCCACATTTTACCACACTTTTCTCCCTCTAAGTAGCCCTTACCCTCTCTAAAATATAACTTCTTCATGCTTTCCTTCATCTTTGTCCTTATTTATCGCCAACACTTCTACTCAAAGCAGAAATGAAGAGAGCTCTCTTTGTTTAGAGGTTGGAGGATTATAATAAAAGATTGTCTTGCCAGTTGCACTAAGGATCCCTTAGTTTTTTTTAGATCCCAATTATTAGTTATGTTTCTACTTTTCTGAATGTTGTATTCTGGAATTGTACAGTACATTATCCCTTGTTGTAGACCTCTGTAACATTATCTTCCTATCTGAATTCCTGTCCTTTACCAAGTGAATACCATCAGGATAGTGTACATTTCTCTTGGCTTGTATTTCCTCCTGTCACCTTTAGTCTAACCCTAAGTACCTACCTGATATATTGCATTGCTGATCTCCTATTTTATAATGTGCTTTATTATTTTAATATTTAGTGAGACAAATTGAATGTTATGTTTTTAAGATAATTTATTTGTTGCACTCTACATTCTGTGATTAAGATTGTCCTTAATGAAAAAGGTAGTGATTCCTAATTTTAGCTTGGTAACACTCAAGATCTGGTATTCCTTTCTTATCAGTGCCTAATATTATACTATTAAACATTCACTCATTGGGCTAATATGCTGTTAAATCTCCCTGTATAATGGAGGTTTCTGTGAATATTTAGCAAATCAATATAGTGTTAGAAGATCAGTGTTGTAGTCTGGGTCATGCCACAATCTATATGTCCTGGCTGAAAATTTATATGAAAATATATGTATACTGGCTGAAATTTTTTTCAGAAGTAGCAGAGCTTAGTAATTATGAAGACAGCCTGAGTTTGCATTCTATTTTCACTAGTTAATATTTGGGGATTTATTAATCTCTCCAGTCTCAATTTCTTTATTTGTACAACAAATAATAATAGTAATTTTAGCATACGATGGCTGTGAGGATTGAATCAGATAATGCACATTAAGTACTTAGCATACCTAAATGTGTCTGGCATATTGTAAGTTTTCAAAAGTATGTATTATTTGCTATAAGTATATGTTAGATAACCATAAGAGAGACATAATATTGCCTGTTCTACTTTGTCTTATGTCAGGAGTCAACGAACGATGACCCAAATGTAGTAAGTGGATTTTTTAAATATGAAATAGCAAAAAACAAAGAAGAATGTGCAATAGGGACCTGAAAAAAACCCTAAATATTTACAATCTGGCCCTTTGAAGAAAAAGGGTCAAACAGATTCTGTATTCAAATTACTTCATAAAAGTTTTTACTCTCTTATAGAAATTTGAACTAGCAATAATGTATAAACACATAGATTTTGCAAGAAAGATGAAACTTTAATTAGCAAACTTACATTTAAAAAGAGATTGATCTGGGGCTGGGGTTATGGCTCTGCCATAGCACACTTGCCTGGCATGTGTGAGGCACTGGGTTCGATTCTCAGCATGCATATAAATAAATAAAATAAAGGTCTATCAACAACTAAAAAAATTTTAAAAAAGAGATTGATCTTATGGTGAAAGATCTGTGAATGAATGTGTATTTGTTTTTTAAAGTAGGATAAAATGATTGTTATATAAAAGTTGATTTTAAAATCCTGACCTTTTTTCTGATTAATCAAATAACTACCAGTTCTAATTGTGTTAGATAATAGAATATCCATTGTACTTAACAATTTAATTTAGGAAAAGCTAATTTAATGAAAGCTGTGGTCAATGGATATCATAAAATCTCAAGAGAAAGTTAATAGCCTTTTATAAGTAATGATTTCCAAAATATTTGCAAAGGAGGCTGGGAGTGTAGCTCAGTGGTAGAGGTCTTGCCTTGCATGCACAAGACTCTAGGCTCTAGGTTCAATCCCCATCACAGAAAATAAAATAAAATAAAATAAATATTTGCTAAGAAGTAGGATGACTAATAGTGACAGCTCCAGAAAATTTATATTCACTACTCTGGTTTTAATCTATATTTAGTTATGTGGGACTAAAGCAAAACAAGTATGTGTACACAAACAACTCTTTAAGCAAAAAAATATTTAAAAATTAGACCCAGTTTAAAACAAAACAAAACAAAACACTCTTCTCCTAGAGCATTTCTGAATAATCCAGGCCATTGTTCTGCCTGGAATAGTGAATCTGGTTCAGCTAACACTAGGAAGTATTGAAGAGCAGCATACCAAAGCAACAGCAAGGGGGAAATTAGGACATTTTTGATAGAGCCAGAAGCAGCATTGTCAGTT